GCCCGAAATATGGTTATTTGTTGTACTACACTCTAGCGAAGGCAAATTCCTCAAGCTACCTGGATGTCTCTCGATCGAAAAGCCACCAACCAGATCGATTATGTTGTGAAAGACGGAAGACACGTCTCGAGTGATTTAGACTTGCATACGCTCCAAGGTCCTAATATGGACTATCTCGTTGCAGCCAAGGTATGCACCCGTATCTGTGCAGCAAAAATCGCAAATCAACAAACACAATAAAGGTTCGGCGTCGAGAATATACAATCCCAGCAGACAGCTGAACGACTCTCTACTCGAGTTGCATTCTCTTGTAGAACCCCCAGGGGTGTTCTAATGACTGATGTCATATTGGAATTATGGAAGAAACGCTTCCCCACCCTGCTGAATGGAAGTGAAAGCATAGCAACAGGAGATGACGACCCGACCCTCTAATCGATTCTCTAATCGATGACGATGGAGCAAACGTTCCATTGTTCAGCCATAAAGAAGCAATTACCCGGCTCAAGAACAACATAGCAGCGGGGCTGATGGGTAGTCTGCTGAGCTATTCAAATACGGTCGCGTAAAATTGATAAGGAACATGCATCAGCTTCTTTGTAGAATATGGTCRGACGAAAGCTTGACGGACGATTGGAATTTAAGTGTGCTCTGCCCAATCCACAAAAAGGGAGATCCCACAATCTTCACCCGCTACCGTGAGATAAACCTCYTCAACATCTCATATAAGCAGGATTCTACCGAGCGTATTGTGTGAAAGTCTGAAGACTCCGTCAACAAACTGTTGGGACCTTATTAGGTTCTTTAGTCCTGGAAAATATACAGCTGGCCAGATATTCACCATGCGCCAAATCTTGAAAAAAATCCGTGAAAAGAGAATTGACASACACCACCTCTTCGGCGATTTAAAAGTCGCCTTCGACGTTGACGTTGAACAACACCAAAAACTCCGTCAGGATCGGGCAGGGTCTTTCCGAGCCGTTCGATACCAAACACTATTTATCGTGTGACTTCTTCAATCTCCTGCTGGAGAAAATGATTCGAGCTGCAGAGGTAAATAGAGAAGATACCATATTCTATAAGAATTTTCAGCTGCTCGCGTACGCCGGTTATATTGATATCATTGCCCTCAATAACCGGAGCTTAGTTCTGCATTCTCCAGAATGAAAAGGAGCGAAGCAAATGGCTCTGGTCGTAAACGAGTACAAATCTAAGTATCTCTTGCCATCAAAGAAACAGTCGTCGCACTAGCAACTTGTCTCCTACGTCACTGCTGATAGTCATAACTTCGAAGTCGTAGATAATTTCGTCCATCTTGGAACTATTATTAACACCAACAATAACGTCAGGATTGAGATCCTACGCAACAAACACCCGCGGCCAAGCGTAACTTACCACATGATTTTTTTCACTATTTTAAATTTTTTCGTTCTTTGGATAACTTTTTATGGATTTAATAGAATACGGGGAATATATAGATGGCTCGAATATATTTGGTTAACTGTTAACTTTAATCTGGCCCATTTGTAAAATTAAATTGAGACAACTTTTTTTATTTGCACACAAGTCTTTGATTTCATTATTACTAATTCTTGTAATAACTTAACAAAAGTTTTTGTTTCAATTGAAAATGGAATTACAACATATTCAAAAAGAATAACGGTAAATCTAATATGGCGTCGGTCCACCTCTAGCGGATATTACAGCTTCGATACGTGCAGGCATTGACCCAACAAGTTTCTCCAAAACACTGCTTGAATTTTCCTCCTCCCAAACACTTTCTAACATTTTTTTAGTTCTGGTTTACTTTTAGGCTTATGATGAGCAACTTCGCATTTCATTATGTGCCATAAGTACTCAATAGGATTTAAGCCGGGAGAGTTTCCTGGCCAATCCATATGATGTAATCCGAGGTCCTTGAACATTTCCACCACCTGTAAGATAATTATAAAAAAAACATTCTATTATTTTTGGTTATAAGTTGAAGGGATTAATAGTAGTCAATTTCAGAGCGTAAATTACCGATTTTGCACGGTGGCATGGTGCCGAGTCGTCCTGGAAGATGGCGTGAGAAGAATACCCATTTTGCTCCTCTACAAAAGGCACGATGGTATCCATTATGAGCTTCCTATATTTTCTGCGTTCATTATGCCATCGATAAATACCAGAGGCCCACGTTAAATTTACTTTCTAGAGTTCAATTTTTATGCATTCTTGCCCACTTTAACCGCTTAATTCTCATTTGCTTTGTCAGAAGGGGCTTCTTTGTTGGCCTCCTACCACACAGTCCGAACTCCGCAAGACGTCTCCGCACCGTTCTTACGCTTACTTCGTTATGTTGCTGCTCAAGATTTCTCCTTATTTCCACAGCACTTTTGAATCTGTCCTTAAGACTCATCCGATGTATAACGCTGGCTTCTGCCAAAGTGAAAATAACCACTTTTTCATCGCGAGCCAGTCGCTTGTATTTGGAGCTCATTTTGTATGCCTTCCGACTTAACGATTGATATATGTTTGACACAACTTATTTTTTTTTTTAATATTTTATATTTGTGAAAGTCAAAGATCACTTCGTTAAAACTTAACGGAAAAATTCCATTACCGCAACAAGTACCGTTACAATGAGTGCTAGAACACGTGTTAGCTAGAAATTTCTTAATGGTAAGTTATGTATAAGTTAATGAGTAGGCAATTGAGAAGTAAAGTCCTCTCTCGACTAACAAAGACCAAACTCTACAAGTTACTCATCATCCTCGTCCTGCTATATGGTGCAGAGGCATGGACGATAACAACATCCGATGAATCGGCGTTACGAGTTTTCAAGAGAAAGGTTCTGCGGTGTTATGGTCCTTTGCGCATTGGCAACGGCACCGCAGTCAATGGAACGATGAGCTGTACGAGGTAGGTAGGCGACATGAACATAGTAGAGCGAAATAAGAGACAGCGGATACGCTGGCTAGGTCATGTCATCTTAATGGATGAAAACAGTCCAGCTCTAAGAGTATTCGACGTAGTATCCGTCAGTAGAAGCAGAGGAAGACCTCCACTCCGTTGAAAAGACCAGGAGCAAAAGGACCTGATTA